GCAGACGATCACATTTTCATCATCTGTTTTTGCGTAAGGACCTTTCTTGCCCGCCAAAATCCTTCGGGCCGATGTCTATGCCGAGAGAGCCGAGTGATATTGACCAAATTCCGCTGACTCGGAGCCACCTCCACATGAAAATCCGACTCACCTATGACGGTGGCGCTCGGATGTTGAAGTGGGTTCTCTGCTTTAAAAGCTTTGCCTTCCAGCCCCCCCTCCTCCACCGCCTCTCCACCAGTCTCTATATCTCGCTTTACCCAACATTCAACCCCTAGCTGGAAATTTGTCTCTTCTTCTAAGCTACTAGTATTCCTTGTCATCCTGCAATCTTCATGCCCTCGGGCTTCATCGACCTCAAACTCCATGTGACCGTTCCCTGCTTCATTGCCTCTCCCATGAACGCTCTGCGTGAATCCAGACAGCAAGCCTTCGCGATTCCTCAACCTCAAACCGTTCTCTGGTGTCTTGCCTCTCATTTTAATATTCTCCGTGACTTCATACTTACAGAGTCATGGATCTCCTCTATTGCTCTTGTTTAATCAGAACCTTAGATAATATATGTCTTTCTGCTGTCCAGTAGCTATGTTTGCAAAATAGGCTGCGAAGTGCGGGTACCATACTGTAGTATTTCGTTCAAATCAACCTGGGGGGTGACATGTGTCCCGAAATACCGATTTGACCTTCCGATCACGGCCGAAATTTTGCGTGACCTAACCGAAATTTTTCAACCAACGGGATGAAAATTTCAGTTTTTACGCGCTTTGAAGCAACATTGGAGGTGCGTCACGTGGGTGGGTGACGCGTGACCCCGCACCAATATTCGACATCGACATCGACCAGGCGGGCGTGATGCGTGATGGTCGAATTGAACGAAATACTATACTAGTAGTAGTATCGAGGCATGCTTGAATTATTTATTTTATGTTTCTTGTAGTTGCACAAATACATTGAGTTGAATTCTATCTGCTCAATTAGCCAAATGGTCAAATTCTGTGACACTCTTGTGTTCTTCAGAACTCGTCCCCGCCTTTGCCGCATTTTGAAGTTCCTACTATTTGAGAGGCCGACAACTTAAATAATTTTGGGTAATTTTACGAGCTCAAGTTCGCTGGAGGGGCCTTATGAAAAGCAAGGTAATTATGAGGTCCGCGCGAATCCGGAGTGTCAGACGGAACAGGACCCCGCAAAAGTCTTCAAGAAACCAAGGTTGATGGGGGAAGGGCTGGATTCCAGAAGTTGAGGAAACTACGAAACTATGGCTACTTATATACTGAAGAGGACTATCCTAATCATTCACAGAAGCTATCAATACTCACAATACTCAGAAAGTCGCAATGTGCTATTAACGCGGGGTAAGTGGCGTAAAATTGAGAGTAAATTTCGCATGCCCTAGAATGGAAATGATATCTTCGGATCATTGGAAGCACGGCCATCCTTTACAATCGGTGAGCACTAAAACACTCACCAGTAGTCTTTCAATGGCAATTTATTATCCCAGAAATTCTTAGGAATGGAACTAGAGACAAAAGCAAGACAGAAGACGAGTGAGAACAAAGTATTCCGCGAGGAGCATAATCTGGGAGGAGTATTAAGCCCAGGGAAGTTCCGAAGATCGAATGTGCTCATTATTTAGGAGGTTTAATATGAGGGTTGAGGCACCTATGTCCCATGCATCAACCTTCGGGTAAACGTTGAGCGAGTGTTTACCCGATATCGACGGGGGGAACCCATTTTTCAATAATAGCAAGTTTGCGTTGCAGCCATTCGAGCCATCAGATGGCATTTTTGCAATGCGCAAACTGATGGCCAATGGCTCATTTTTTTCAAACCGAAAAACATATTCTCCACCTCAAAGAGCAGCTCATGTTAGTTAAATTTGATGTCCATTCCAAGGACCAACGTGCCAACATACTTCAGCCATTTAAATGCCAAGTCAAAAATTGAGAGCTTGAATCGAGTGTAAGGACATGCTGAGCCAATTACAGAGCTCCATACATTACTATGGTATGTGTAGGTTCCCACAGCATATATTTCTGTCAATAGTCACCTCAGGTATTCCAGCCATTCGAGGGAAGAGCCATCAGTTTGCACACTGCAAAATGCCATCTGATGGCTCGAATCACTGCAGCGCAAACTCTCTAATAATTAGCTCCCAGTCCATGAAGATTAAATTCTGTTTATATACATGTGGGACCGGTATCCGTGATTTATCCTCAGGCTCAACGTGAGCTGGTCGATGCAGCCGCATCGACCGAGCGAACGTTGAGCTACGCGGTCAATCTAATCTATTCCTGATGCGGCCTGTTCTGATTATTATTTTCAGCGGCCATCAGACAATTTCACTTGACACTCATACAACTCCAATTCAAAGTAGAACTTGAACGGTGAACGCTCAATGTTTAACGCGTACATTTATTTTATTTTGGCCTGTCCCACTATGAGCACTATGAGCAAGTATTTTAGGAGACTCAATGTGAGCTGGTCGCATTGACCGAGCAAGCATTGAGCTGCGTAACCTGCCTCTGGAGTAGTGAAGGAGCTTCCATGTTGACCGAAGTTTGGTTGAGAGGACTTAACTGCTTTCCGAGGAGTTTTTTTGGTTGGATTACACCACTGTTTATGAAGTCCCCGGCCCTCTTCAGAGAATTATCCATAGCATTGAATACTGAAATCCAAGTCGTTTATTACGGTAGCGGGCTGTGCCGCTTGTCGGCCCTACCCGCTTTATCTTTTATCAATCATTTGGCAAATACTCATAAAGTGACCATCAAACTTTTTGAATAGCTTAACATCTCGGCCAATTTGCAAAATTCTGAAGAGACAGAACTCTTCCGAGCAGGGTAAAGTATGACTTTGCATCTTTGCCCATTGCAAATAGATGATTCCCAGTGCTGCAGAGTTGATTGGTAATAAGCGGAAACCCCGATCGGACCCCCTTTGTAACAACAGGACTAATTGAGCGTGGGAGGCCATTCGCCACCAAGTCGTATCTCCCTACTGGTGCCAACATCTTTGACTGGGAAGTCGATATACACATCGCTCGGGACGTTCGCTTACGGATTGAAAATCCAGCTTCGGCATGCGTCCATGAGCTCGAATTCCAAATATCCATAACCCATTGACGCAAGTTGTACACCTCAGCAGCCGGGCGCAAAAGAACGATCCAGACAAATTATGACTCGGGCCTGGCTCGAACAGGCGCCTCTCGCTGCATGGTACGTCCAACATCAATTGAGCGTGGGAGGCCATCCGCCACCGAGTCGGTGGGCATCTCAGTACCTGCTCGCGCTAAAGATCCCCGACTCTGAAGTAAATGCATGGGACGGTGCGCAGTCTGACTAAAAGTTCCACCCACTCTGTTCAATTTTCGTTAAGCTTGGCGCGCCTTGGTCATTTATGGGTGGCCAGTTAATGTAAGCTAGGAGCCTTGGTGCACCAGTCTTACTAAAACCAAGGAGTTTTTGTGGAAAAAATAAACAACTACCGTCACTGCACGACCCGGGCCCGATTTGAACAGGCGCCTCCCGCTATACGGATCAACACAAACAAGCCATTGAGCACGGGAGGCCATCCGCCACCGAGTCGGTAGGAAAGGCTGTGCGACTCGCAATTAGCTGCACTCATAAATATTCGGCATTAATACCAGGACTAGTACGAGTTGCGCCGATCAAAATGCACCCGTCGGGTTCTGGAGACTCTGGAACATCACGACCCACAGCAACAAAAGGAAAAAAAGTTCCTACTTCCGTGCTCACGAGTCCCGTCCAGGCCTGGATCGAACAGGCGGCGTCCGCAGACTTGCACCTCACTGAAGGCTGAATGAGCAGCGGATGCCGGCCTCCGTACTCCGCATGCCGGAAGAAAAAGAAACCATCCCAACAACACCGCTTTACGACTCGGCAATTCCGAGTGCGGCCCACCCGCCAGCGAGTCTTATCTACCTACTCGTGCTAACACTCTTGATTGAAGTCAGCGCACACGTCGCACGGGATGGTGCGCTGATTAATTAAAAAATCAAAAATTCCCCTCGCTTTGGGTAATCTGCCATGCCTTGACTGGGGCTGCAACTCCAATCCTCCGTCATGGCTTGATGCAAGTTGGACGGCAGAAGAAAAAACACAGCTCATTACTATGACTCGGGCCTGATTCGAACAGGGACCTCCCGCTGGATGCCATGTGGAAGATACATTGAGCGCGGGGGGCCATCCGCCACCGAGTTGTTACAAGCGCCTGTGGGCCTCGATATTGGTGCCCATATCGATTTGATATCAATGGTGAGTTTTAGAGGCGCGTGATGCGTTTGCCAGTGTGCCGTACGGCGGGCGCGGAGCCGGATGGGGGCACGTCGTGCGTATCCGTATCTGCGCGGACTACATCGTGCGTCCCTACGGATCCCACGAGCAGCCCCAGTCATAGCACGGCCCACCTTCGCATAAAAGGCTTCCACAGCTATCTATTGGTCTACCTGAGGGCTCATCGTGGATAGCAGATCGGCGTAGGATTTTCAGTGGAGACTCGCTGCCACTGCGACAGGGACAGACGAAGATACGTAGTGCATCGTGCCTGTGATAAATAGTGAGCATTAATATCAGGGCTTCAACTAATGGCCGAGCGCATAGGCGTTTGTACTGACTCGGTGGCGGATGGACCGCGCCCGTAATCCATGAATAGCACAACAGTATGTGTAGCGGGAGGCGCCTGTTCCAATCAGGCCCGAGTCATAAAGCGGAACAAAAATCGGTTTTTTTTCTGCCAGCTACCTTTCTGCCTTGGAATTGGAGCTTTGGGTATCGCGATAGGAGGGCAGGCTTCTTGGCTCTCGTGGGCGCTTCTTGAGGGTGTGGTGCCCTGGGTGTGATAATGTACAAGTTTTGGAACCAGCCGGGAGAACGAGGTCGAACCTGGAGGTACATGAAGCCTCAAACTCGTCCACTGCCAAATATTCAGCATGCATATGAGCAGTAGAACTAATAGCGAGACGCACAGGTCGTTGTACCGACTCGGTGGCGGATGGACCGCGCCCGTTGTTCATGGCCGACAAACGCGTGATTTGGTGGGAGGCGCCTGTTCGAATCAGGCCCGAGTCGTGGAGCTGTGGTAGTTGTAAATTTTTTCTGTCTCTTCATCAGGTCGGAATGGAGTGTGAGAAGAGCTGGCGTGTAAAGAGCTACGCAGGATGTTTGTCTCCGCTACTCCGGAGGGATCGAGGCATAGGCAGCAAAGCGTGAGTCTTCCCATTCAAAGATTCTGATATTCAACATGGATATGAGCACTAACACTCGTAGTCAGGCGCACAGGCGTTTGTAGCGACTCGGTGGTGGATGGCTTCCCGCGCTCAATTAATGGGACTAGATGGGATCTAGTTGGAACGCGCCTGTTCGAATCAGTCGAGGGATGGCTTTTTTTGTGCCCGGCTGCGAAGTTGTGGTATAACCGATGTTCAACTTGTACGTCAATAATTCGAACTTGCGTCAATGCTTCGTGGGCGTATCGTATATCGTGGAGCTAGCGGGGCTGTCAATGGCCGGTGGCGCAACTCATAAATATAAAATATTCAGCGTTATGACACGTACTTCTAACTAGATTAGCGCTAATAGCGACGCGCACCGGCGTGATAGCGACTCGGTGGTGGATGGCCTCCTGCGCTCGATCGATTGTGGATGAGATCATCTGGCGGGAGGTGCCTGTTCGAACCAGGCTCGAGTCAGAAACATGCCCGTGGGGTTTTTCCTTTTCTTTTCTGGCTTGCTGTGGAGCTGTAGGACCTGTTCACTCTGAACTGGCGTCAACGCCCCGTAGGCCGTATCGTATTTCGTGCAGCTAGCGGGCAGAGCGAGGGTGAATTTTGATGTACGGCGGCGGAGCTCGTTGCACCCATAAATATTCGGCGCTATTAATTATAAGTTATAACAACATTAGCACTAATTGGATGTACAAATCGCACAAGGGTTCTAGGATCCGCCAGTATCGATGTTCAAGGGAGATTACAGGATACGTGCGGAAAGCTTCAGCGAATTCAACGGATACACATTTATTTGTACCCTGCATATCAGAGGCATAGCCGCGAAGCACAGCCTGCGCAGCGCGGACGAACGCCTCGGTCGCATGAGAGAGGTCCGACGCCTGCTCATCATTGGCAATGAGGGTGATTTTGCGCAGGTTCGGCATGGGAGACGCTGCAGGATGTCGAGCGCGTTGGAGAACGCCAGCTGCAGAAAGATGGACAACAAACACGGCCGAATGCGTACCGGGGTCAAATTCTGAACGAGGAGCGGCGTGCACTCAACGAGCTCTAGGGATGATTCTATGAGCTGGTAGGGAGGGAGTAAAAGCGGGGCAGGTCACCTTTGACGCGCGCCGAAGGGACGGGCAAAGAAGTCAAGGTGCGCAGGTTGCGCGCGTGGTCCTTTATCGAATGGCGCTGAACCCACGAGTGCTCAGAGATGCTACCGATCACCGTAAGGCGCTCTGTGTTCGGGCAGCATTTGACCATGTCGAAGGCATTCACTGCGTTCCCTAGGCCCGTCGGCAGACCCTGTCGACCTGTGCTGAGCTCGGTCGAGCTCTGCCGACCCGGGTCGGTAGAGTCTGTCGAGTCCTTGGTTTGAGGTCGACAGACTTTGTCGATCCCTGTCCGCAGAGGTCGACCGAGCTCAGCACAGGTCGGCAGGGTCTGCCGAGCTGGGCCGACAACGGGGCGGAACGTAGTGATTGGTGTGGAGGATGAGCATCCGTACAGCAGGAATATGCGCCCCGAAAGCGCCGGATCCAAGGGACTCGGCATGAGGCGCGTGAAGTTATTCCCAGCCCTGGTTTTGCAGAATATGCTGGGGATGAGTAGGACTTGGATCGTTTCGAGGTGGATGAGGAGTGAGAGGCAGTGGAAGAACCTGAGGAAGACCGTCTCGGCAGACCACCCGATGAGCACCACCGAGACGACGCTACGCTACTGTGGATCAGCGGAGCTTTGCAAAAGGCAAGAGAGACAAACCGGACATATTGAGCGAGCGATGAGTTGTGAACTGTGAGTATTTTACCAGCTTGCGCGCGAGGGCTTTCGCGAGCTTCTTCGAGCGATTGATTCCGTACAAAGCGGACCGCTCCCGGGACTCGACGACGCTTCAGGAGGCACACACCTCGAGGCGCTCACATGACTGTGCGAGGAACACGCTCCGAAAGCGCCTGCAAGTATGCGACAGCGCACGGAGGGCCTCAGGACGCTCCAGATGAATGCCGGGGAATACTTTGCTGGGATAGGCGCGCCAACGAAGTACGACGTTATCTCGTGCAACGTTTCCACTGGGAGCGAGGGGAGTCCGGTGGTGTTGACAGGGCCGAGCAGGAGGCGCGCTCGTCCATTCCGGGTACGCGGAGGCGTAGTCCTCTATATTCGCGGATCGTCAGGTGCTGGGGTACAGTCTGTCGCGTGGAGTCAACTCAAGGACTCAAGTGTTACAGTTAGCCAAGACGATACCAGAGCAACGTCGGGATATTGGAACTGGCTGCTGCAAGGTGACGGCGAGAGAGAAGGAGAGCTCGCCATCATTTTGCCAGGTAGCCGGCCGGCATCTCCCGGGAACTTTTGCTCCTTCTGCATTCACGCCTGTGAGCTCTTGTTGCCCTCAGGCTTCAGTGATCCACTGCTTAAACGTCTAAGCAGACTAACGTCTTACTCGATCTGCCACTGTCTGGGTGTGTGCGCACGAGGAGTCCTGACTCGGATTGAATGACGTCCCATTGCATCTTCGATTCCTTTGTACTTTGTGGGCGCCGGGCGGCTGTACTTGGCACTGGCAGACATTAGCGGGATCAGCTTTGTCTACATCTAGTCCCGATGAACATTGCCACTGCATGGCCTACTGATGTTGATGGCGAAGATTCCTGGTTGACAAGAGGCTCTCCGAGCTGTCAGACTTGCCAAACACGATGCATGGGTCGTTGTCTGATTTCCTCAAGACCATCGGTGACTCACACTATGGAAGTTTGCCTCTCCATTTCAATTGTCCTTTGGTTCCGCTGTGACCGGCAAATTTGACGCTCGAGAGGCGCTCCAGGCAACCGTGACTCATGAGTCTATTTGATGGGAGGGCTGCTTATTTTTTCGGCTCGCCATGGCGGTCAAAATGTCCAGCGTGGTTCCAACCATATGTAAGTGCCATGCTTCTCACCGCATGCAGCGCTACCTTCTTTACGAGGAATTCTTGCAGAAATGTCGCATGTCGCAACTATATGCGTCCTGATTTTTGCTTGACGCGTTTCCGAATCTTCTGCCTGATCTTCAATCCTAATGCCATTTTGCTCCTCCGTGAATTCGGTGGTCGGGGATGTCGGGCGGAAGCGACGCCCGTCCTTAGAGCTGCGAATCAGAACTCCTCTTGCTCCGCCTACAAGCAGTGCTTATGCATGTTGCACTGATCAGCGTCTTCGCCGCATAGTCTGAGTCAGATTCGTCGGTTTGAACCTTCAACATGTCTTCTGGACATCAAGTCAAATTTGTTTACTGCCCGCCTCCGCTGCCGTCGCCAGTAATCAACATTTCCCGGCGGTACGGTGAGTCGCGCTTGACATGCATAATTCTGTGATACTTGTAACTCACCTAATTCCGCTCGAGTAGATCTCCTTCTGACATTGGACAATACTTCGCATTTTGAAGTTAGTTGCGGCTCAGACTCAAAACCAGCCAAGACAAAACTCAATGATGTGGGCGTATCCCTTGCCTTATTCTGAGCTCCTTGTGGGCTCTGTGATGTACTAGGATTCAAGCCACACTCAAAGCAACGAAAACACGGTTTAATTGCCCACTTAGCCCATTAATATCTGGGCCATCACGGCGTTATGCCAAGATGGCTGTCTAAGGCTGTCCATACCTGCCAGTGCCGAGCATTCAGGATGATCGACGGACTTGGTTTCCCACCGACGCGGGTCCAACGTGCAACGACCGACGGACTCGATGCCGCTGTCCGGGCGCACCCTGGCAGTGGTATGACTCTGCTGTCTCAGCGTAGAACCATGGGTTTCTGTCGCCCAACGGCTTGGTCAATGCTGTCCATCAGCTTTCAATCCCTTGGCTCTGTTCGTCCATCGTTGCTTAATATGAAACAAATCCAGCAGATCGGAACCCGAGCCACGGGAGGAAAGGCGGCCACGTTCACGGTTCATAGAGCCCATGAACAGGGCTCAGGGCTATATGGTCCTGTCAATAACATGTCCCTAGAGTTTTGACGTTTCTCCATAAAGGTCAAAAGCGGCGTCTTGCTTTATGCGTTGCCACAAGCTACCCTGAACAGTATTCAGGTCTGTGCCGGTACAGCATGGTGAATTCCACTGGAAAGGGGCGCTGTCAGCCTGTCTGTTCCCAGAGCTGTCCTCATTGCGACTGACACGGTATAATTCTATATCTATTCTTGGCCAATTATCCCTCTGCAAGTGAGTGGTCAATATCCCGGTTCATGCTTCCGATTGATCCTTGATCTCCACAAGTTACCAGGTACATACATTTACATGCATTTCTCTGAAACGAGATCACTATACAGGATGTTCAGAGACGGTGCTTGGTGCCCGCACTATATGTCAACAGATCGGAGATTAGCCCTCGGTGTATAAAATGGCTCACCAGTGCAACACTCCATACTTACATTGTTTCTCCTTCTCTTGGGTTTTTTGTCATTTTTCACCTAGACAGCTACAGTCATGCGGTCCTTCTCAGCTCCATTACTCTCTCTTCTCTTAATCTCTCTTCTCGGTGTGTCTGCGTCTGCCAGCCCACAAGTCAACCGTCACACGGTGCGCAAGGGCGGGGATGACGACGGAGGGAGCAGTGGAAGTGGTATCCCGACCGTCGCCAGTGTAAAGAATCCCCAGTGCAAGCCGTGGGTCGCTGTCCGCGATGCGATTATGGGCGGTATCTACCACGGTGGGTGAGGTTCTCAGGACGGCGAGTCTGGACTGATTTATCTTTACAGGCCGTTGCGGGGATCCCGCTCGTGCTTCCATCCGTCTAGCATTCCACGATGCTGGTATGTGCATACAATGAACATCGACTTCCGTAGTTTTGAACCAATTCTATGCAGGCCCCTTCTCCCTCGCGTTGCAAGCAGCGGGGCGTCCGAACGGTGCGGCCGACGGATCCATGCTCGTTGACCCTAACGAGGTTCTGCGTCCGGAAAACAACGGCCTGCAGAGCATCGTTAGCCTTCTCAAACCCCTCCCTGCGAAATTTAACGTCTCTCCTGGCGATGTTCTCCATGTGCGTTCAAGTGTCCACACTCAGATGGTTGCCTAATTAACGTTTTTCGTCTGCAGCTCGCTGGAGTCCTCGGTGTCGTACGTCGGGTTCAGCCACAATAAATAGCCCTGGGATTGACGCTCGATTGATTAAACAGCTTGCATGCCCAGGCGGCCCGGTGATCAACACGTACATTGGGCGCACGGCACCCAAGAACATCGCCCCGGACGGTTTACTTCCGAACCCCAACAGCCCTGTCAAAGTCCTTACCGATCGCTTCGCCGACATGGGCTTCAGCATCCGCGAACTCATGGCGCTTATCGGCGCGCATTCTACCGGGAAGCAGCGCTTCGTCAACACCCTCGTGGCACCATCCTCGTTTGACAGTACTGTTGATATCTGGGACGTTCGTTTCTGTAAGGATGTTCGAGTTCACTTGCTAAGGAGTCAGGTTTGCTGACCTATGGCTGCAGACTCAGAGACTCAGAGCTCAAGCGTTGCTCCAGGTATGATAATCCGTCGTCCTGAGTCAACCACGTTTCGTCTGACTGAAAAATACCAGGCACTTTCAAGCTCAACAGCGATGTCAACTTCTCGCACAATGCGACGACGCAGAAAGACTACAACCGCTTCGTCGGAAACCAAGATAACTGGTGCGCCTTCCCCGTCATAGATGTCCATCTCTCGCCAACGTCTTGGGCTTAGGGCCAGGGAATATGCGGCTGCGCACGAGAAGATGAGCCTATTGGGTCTCAACAAGAACACCCTCACCGACTGCACAGAGATTCTGCCGCAGAGCATCAACCTTAAGAACCTTGCGGTCTCGAGTTCTAAATCTGGGAAATCGCCCACTGATCCGGTTATCGACCCCGTCAAGCTCGAGGCGGCGATCCAGCAATACAGGTCTATCTGGCTGTAAGCGGTGCGAGGATCCGCCTTTCATTTGCTCTTTAGTATCATTCGATTATCATATTTAAGTCTGCTACTTAGTTAAACAAGTAACATCTGAATTCCTGGCTCCGCACAGAGAAAGAGTTGTTTTGAGCAACAGAACAAACGCGTTCTTTCGTCTTCAGAATAAGTATCTGGTTTCTGTTGAGCCGAGTTCCTGGTATTCCATCGGGGGTAAAATTAATGCATAATACGATACACTAATAACGTTAACACACTTACCACCGTTCAACTCTGGCATGGGTGGCCTTGGATGGCCCATTTCCCTTCCCCACCACGCGCCAGCTTTTCAAATTCCGTGATTTTAACCCGCCGGAGGGGAAATGAACCCTGTTATTCAGTGTCCATGTCCTGGACCGTCGAGTCCGATATGAAGAGCTGGGTGGTCTTCGTGTCTGGATGGTGAGCGAGATAGTGAGCGAGCTGAGCCACCCCGGCCATCCAGTGGCGATATAAGTTCCTTGGGGAAGCATGTCGTTCTCCGGCGTGAAAAATGATTGGTTCAGGTCCAGCGTGGGGCCAGACGAAAGGGATATGCGAACTGGAGCGCAAAAGAGGGCGAGAGGAGAATGCACATCCTTTTGTGCCGCGACGTGTTGGCGACGTGGAGGTTGATCATGAGTGGCAGTCGTCCCACTGTTCGTTCCATTCTCCCTTTATTAAATTTTGGGGCTTGAATGTTGCGTTTATGGACAGCGCAGCGACAGAGATAGAGTCCCTGTGGCGGGTCGTCCGCATCTGCTTTCATCAAATGTAAATGAAATGAAAAGCAGAAGGTGCCCGTTCGATTCGGGCACGGGTCATACACTTGAGATTTCCAATTTTTTGACCCCACTGGTTCGGGCTGGCATCTCTAATTCGGTTACAATTATTAAATCCCGGTCTGATGTGCAATGTTCAGCCGTGCCCGATCCGATGTTCGCCTGGCTCATTCCGATTGATCGTCTTGGTTTTTCTTTGCTCGCCTTCAACGTTCCTTCCTGTTCGAATTTCCTAACTCATGTATGCAGGGTTAACTGAAGGCGAATACAGGCCCAGTGGCGGACGGTCCGCACCTGCTTTAGTGGCTCGAAGAATATGCGAAATAAAGTAGACGCGTGTTCGACTCGGGCCTGGGTCCCTTCTGTAATTCACGATGCTTTTGTTTAAACTTGCCTTCAAGTTTCCATCCTGTTCGAATTTACTCCCTCACCTATGCAGGCGAATCGAAGGCTAATACTGACCCAGTGGCGGACGGTCCGCGTCTGCTTTTGTTGTAAGATGGTGAAAGTGAGCAGCAGAAGGTGCCCGTTCGACTCGGGCCCGGGTCATTCTTGCCCGTTATGCAATTTTTTAATTTTAATTTTTTGCTCGCAGTTCACAAAGGGAATCGAAATCCATGGATATTTCAACGTCCCCCACCCCTTCCAAACTTCCAAATTCCCCTTAAGCAACCATACCTCTTCGTTAACCACCCGTGCCGGAAAAAGCCGACCTGCGGATCAAAAACCAAAGAAGGCCAACTCGTCCCTGCGCAGTGACACGGTCTTCTGACAATCCCTGCATAACTCACAAGAATTCAGTTGATCTTCACATACAAGTCGCTTTGACCGGCAAGAAGGAAAGGATGCTGAACGCGAACGCGCGCGACCTGCAGCTGAGCGCGGCGCACCCGCTAATGGAGTCTGCGTGCGGGGTGGCTCGGTTCCAGGTGTGCTTTTCTCTCAGGCTACTCCATACGAGACAGGGTAAGCTAATGGGATGTGATGGAACGACAGAACGAAACACACGCCTCCGCCCTGAAGCTGCAGCACCACGCGCTCGACACGTCTGCGCTGTCCGAGTAGCGCTCCTCGAGGCGGAGAACTCGCACCTGCGCATGGAACTCGGTGTCCTCTGGTCTCCTACTTTACCCTCCTCGTCTTCTTCCGGCGGCTTGTCCGGCGACTCATCCGCAGAAGGAGGCGGGGACGCAGTAGCAGAGCTCACTCTCTCTCTCCGACGCCTCTCCGCACACCTCACCCTCACCGAGTCCGCCCTCGCCGAACACCCTCTCTCTATCTCAAGCGAACACGCTGAGCCGCGGAGAAGACGCGCAGCGGGCGAGGCGTACGCGCTCGCTGCGTGCACAAGGGGGCGCGAGGAGGATGGGGTGTTGAGGGTGAGGGAGCTGGAAAGAGCGGTAAAGGAGGAAAGGCAGAAGAGAGAGGGGCGATGGGCGCGTATGCGGAGCTTGTGAGGGGCTGGAGGGGCGGAGTCCCCCTCCTTTCGCATCATCTCGTTCATTCACCCTCACCGGCCGCACGGACGGCGAAGGCGAGGAGAGCCCCGCGACACAGCTCGCCACCTCCCACTCCCAGCTCGCCGCTCTCTCCGCGTCCCTCGCCGCCTCCTCCGCTGCCCGCGTCTTCGCGTTGGAAAGCGAGCTGCAGGTGGCGGAGGCGAAGCTCACCGCTGCACGGGCGCTGAATGGCGAGCTGGGCGAGGCGCTCTGCGCGCGCCGGCTCCATATCGTAATCTACCGCACGCCAGCATCTCGGACTGGACTGCGTGTGTCTTCCATCTTTACGACCGCGTGCGACGTGGTGGCTCTGGCGCCCGTGTCTGCCCCGCGCCCGTGCAGCGTCCTGCACGGCCAGCGTCTGAGCTTGTATCGCGCGGGCATCCTTTCTTTTCTTGCTGTGTTGTCGCGGTCTACGGCGGCGGCGACGGCTTGCGGGTGCGGGGTGTGTACGACGAGGGGCTACACACGCACATCAATGCGGAGTGGACTGGATTGAGCGGAGAAGATGAAGGTACATACGATGCCTCCGCACTCCACTCATTCCTGATTCCACCAATCGGTCCCCATTCGCACCAAACGCAAACACCCCCATCCCCATCCCACCCCCGGCGCCGGCGCTACAAGTCGCGGGCCTGCTCGTAATCGGGTGCGGCGAGAGAGGCGGGAAGGCAGCAGCGCCGGTCGGTGAGGCGGAAGCCCTCGCGTCGGACGTACGGCATCGTACGTCAGGTGCGGATTCAGAGGGCAGCGAGGCGGGCGGATCGGGGCTCCGCCTGTGTCGCCGCGACGCCCGCGCGCAGCCCCAGCCCCAGCCCGCGTCCGCGCGCAGGTACTCGCGTGCGACGCGCGGCCACTCATATTCGCATGCTTGCGACAGTGCGTGCGCTTCGGCTACCGGGAGTTGTTCTAAGAGAAAAGTGAGAGACAGTGGGAGAGTCGGCGGCAGCCTGTGTCGCGCAGGGCGGCGAGGGCTGCCCACGTCTCGTCCGGCTTTGCGTTCGTCTTCCCCGAGTTTGCGCGGGCGCCCCATCGTCCGCGAACACGAGCGCCGCGCCGGGCGGGACGAGCAGCGGCGCGCGATGAACGTACCATCTGGGGCGTGCGCGGGGTTCGCAAAAGACTGACATTAGGAGGAACACGGGCTGTTCAGCGCGCCGGTCGCGGCGCAGGTGATGCGATGCACGAGCGTGCCGTCGGCGCCCCCGAATGCCTTCTGCACTTCAGTGCGCCCTTGCCGAACCGTCGTTGACGACCGTCCCATCCCAAGCAAGGACTTGCTGGATGCATCAAGGATGCATATCTAGTCAAACAACGCCTCTGCAACATATCTAGCCTCTAGAGCATGGCGCGCGCCTGGTTGGGTCGACGAGTCCGCTGCAGGGAAAGGGAAACGGGAGTAAAGAGAAGAAACACATCTTAACTGACGTCACCCGCACCGCCACACAACGCTCTTATTTCCACGCCTTCTGGCCGGATTGCCGGCGTTTGAACGACCCAAGAACGCGAATACGGTACGGGTTATAGAGGTGAGAAGTCACCGACTCGGACTCAATCATGCTCCAAGCCGGTCAAAAGTGCGCGCTCGAGGTTCAGGTTCAATTCTCGTCAGGGGAGTTCAACTCCCCGGGCCAGGAATACGTTACGCAGAGTTCAAGTCGGGATTGGAGTTCGACGTGAAGCCCCGGGCCTCAGAAATGCATGGACATTGATCAGAGTACGCGGATGTCTTTTAACCGTCCCGCATTGATTGAAGAGTCCTTTTCAGCATTGATGCAAGCACTAACACTCATAGCAAGGCGCACAGGCCCACATACTGACTCGGTGGCGGATAGACCACGCCCGTACTCACTCAATCTGCTGAATGACATCATCCAGCGGGAGCCGCCTGTTCGAATCACGCCCGAGTCATGATCATTCAGGTGCGACTCTTTTTTCTCGCTTTCTCTCACCCCGCTGATTCGCTACTTCAATGAGGTTCTCCCAGCTCGATAATCCCCTAGGTAGTTCCAATGAAAGAAGCTTGAATTCGTTTCAGGCAAACAAAGACCACTGAGGTCCGAATTTCTGCCACAAACTGAGCGGCCCACAGGCTTTGTATCGACTTGGTGGCGGATGGCCTCCGGCGCTCAATCAATGGGCTTCGACGGACTCTGGCGGGAGGCGCCTGTTCGACTCAGGCCCGAGTCATATAAATGTCGGATGCTTCTTTTTCTGCCCGGCTGCGGAGGTGTAATACAACCACTGTTCAACTTGCGTTGATGGTTTACAGGAAATTGGAATTCGAGCCCCGGGTATCCGTAAGGATGGCAAATTGAGCAGAATGAGCCGAATTTTTTCATTGCTTATGTTCAATCTTTTCTCATCCGTTCCGAGGGTCCGCGTCCGCTGCTCCTTCAATATGATCGAACCTGTCTGCGGAAGCCGCCTGTTCTATCCAGGCCCGACTCGTAAAAAACCACGGTTATCTTTTCGTTTAGAGCGTGTCTACAGCTATCATTTTGGTAAAAGTCCAAGTTCATCTACCATACAATATTTTTTCTATTACTAATTCCGCATGAATTAACCTAGCAAATCTAGCCTATTTTCAAGGAAATCTATCAAGAATTGGCCGAGCTATAGGTAATCCTTTGAAAATGTCCCAAACAGGAAAATTTTGGTCGCACCCTCGGTACTGTTATTAGCTGTAAGAAGTTAACCTTTGAGATTTGCCCGCATGCGAGCTCACCGTCCAAGACAATCACATATCGTTTCGAACTGCCCGGAATGTAGAGAACGTGAGCATGTCCGCCTCTGCTGCGCCAGCAAGCTTTAGGGCCATGTACGCCGCGAAGCCATACTTCAGCAAGGCCAGGTTGTTCCCTGAACAGTGGATCTCCTGTAGGCGTGGCAGACCCTGCCTCAGCTCGGCTGCAGAAATGAACAGCGGGTGCGCGCGTGTGGACTCGGGCCACCTGGTTCCCGAGTTCGATAGGGGATCGACCTTCAGGAAGAGCGATTCTAGGAGCCGGGCAGTGATGGGGAGTGAGATGAGGAGGGCGTCGAGCTCAGGGAGGTGGGTTCCGTGGAATTCGAACTGGAGCTTCATGAATCGGAGGACGGGGAGAGTAGGCAGCAGAAGCGAAGGGAGGGCTGGCAGTCCATTAGTTCAGAGGTGCGGGCGCACTTTGATGCGGACTTACGGTATGTCCGGAACAGTTCGAGGTGCTCGAGGGTCGTGTGGAAATTCGACGTACGGAAGAATTGCTTGTGCCGCCCTTCGTACGCGTCACTGAGGTACAATTCAAGCTTTCGGAGCCTGCGCAGATGTCTCCCTATACCGGCGTCAAGCGCGGACGCGAAGTTGTCTCCTTTCGCCAAAAGGACGAGATCTTTGAGAGCTGTGTCACGTCCCCGCTTCATGAGAGTTCCCTCCGTACTGTTATTAGCTGTAATCGTTAACGACAGCTCGGTTGAATTCGAGCTAATTAGCCCGGCATGTGGGATGCATGTAGTGGCTTGATCTCACGGGTGGAATGGCTCGGGCCAGCTGACAACGAATGGCTTGATTCGGTTATTATAAGCCCTACTCGCTTTGAATCTGCATTTCCTTGTTGGAGGTGAGAAGCAGAATATATGGTTGTCTAGCTCACAGACGAATGTGACGAGCCTATGACTGCCACTTGTTTATGACTGACCAGAAGGAATTCGAGTCATCGGATGATGTTCGTGTCAGAGAGGCCTCGTGGAATGACAGAAAAGCAGGAGGCACTGCGTTCAGACCCCCCCGTAGGCACAGATGTGCCTACGTACACCGATCTCTGCCGAGGTATGACTACGTAAGCCTACGTTGGCCGATGTTGGTCTAACACGTCTGCCTACGCGAGGCCTGCCCACGTTGGACGATCTCGGCCGACGGTGGTACGCCTATCTTGGCCGACCTTGGCCGATCCGAGTCCAGGTTGGTGGCGGGTGAAATGAGGAACCATGTCGGGTCTTGAATTTCCTAGCTAGGCTCATCGGCCCACGTCATTCTATGTGTGCCTATTCCTGCCGGTACACCTAGACCAA